CTCATTTCTGCTTTAGTCGTGGAAAATATTTCAGTTCTGGATGTACCACAGTTTATACACTCCCTTCCTGGAGGACATCTTGATTGCTCTCAAGGTTTGTCAGTAATGTCTGTGTGCAGATGTGTGTGTAGACATGTTTTCAACTCCTTTGGGTATATTTCAAGAAGTCTGACTGCAGGATCATATGGTAAGAGTGTATCTTCTTTCCACTGTGTCTATACAGTTTTGCATTCTCATCAGATTGAAGGGCAGTTCTTACTGGCCCACATCCTCCCTAGCTTGATGATGATTGTGTTTTGAATTTGGGCTATTCTGATTGGTGTGTAGTGGTATCTCATTGTTTAAATTTACAGTTCTCTAGTGACATGTGATGTTGAATATCTTTTCACTTGCTTATTTGCAATCTGTATATCTTCTTTGGTTAGATGTTCTGTTCGGATCTTTTGCCCATTTTAAAATTTTGATTGTTCGTTTCCTTATATATTTGTATACTTTTTTCTTGAACTTATCTGAAATTGGTTTTATCTTTAAAATTTGAAATATGATTCTAACTTCTAGTTATTTAAAGAGTGATCCTGTTATTTTAGGGATTGATTCTTTTCCTACTGAATTTAAATGTTCAAGTTTAGTGTAACATATTTATGCATATATTATAAAGACATGTTTGGGTCCTTTTTTCTTTCATATTAACCCAGCGCGTTCGCTCGCGCTCTCTCTCGCTCTCTCTCTCTCTCTCTCTTTAACTATTACTGCATTATTTTTACTGTAACATTATTTTAGTGTAACATTATAGTATTTTGGGGGGGGGGTACTGGGTATTAAACTCAGGGGCACTTGACCATAGAGTCACATCCCCAGCCCTATTTTGTATTTTACTTAGAGACATGGTCTCACTAAGTTGCTTAGTGCCTCATCATTGATGAAACTGGCTTTGAACTCTCAATCCTCCTGCCTCAGCCTCCCGAGCCCCTAGGATTACAGTTATGGGCCACTGTGCCTGGCTTGTAGTATGTTTTAATAGCTGAAAATGCAAGCCTCTTCATTTTTTTTCCATTTAATGTTTAATTTTTTTTGCTTTTACAATTTCACTTTTTCAAGTAGATTTCAGAATCATTTTGTTAACTTTGGGGGCACATGTTACTAGAAATTTGATTATGTTTTTTATAAATCTATACTTTAGAGAAATTTTTTGATCCTTACATTATTTGGTTCTCAGTTGGTCATTTTCTTAAATGTTTCTGAGCAGTTTTAAAATTTATGTATAAGGTATATTATTTAAATAAGTATGAATTAATGAATGATGTATATAAGTCTGTTTTCCCTTTACTGTTCTGTTTGTTTTTTTTCCAGAGAAAAACTAAAAACTATGAACTTAAGATGCAAAAAAATAAACAGTTGACAAAATTCTTGATTTTTATAAAGTTTCCTGAAAATACAAGAATAGTTCTTTAAAATTGAAAGGCAAAATCAGTCTCAAATCAAATAGTATGTTTAGTACTCAGATTCTCAGGTTAATTCCATAAAAATCAAAGGCTTTAACATTTGTTTTTAGAAAGTGATTGTAGAAGAATTTGTATTGCGTGTTTGTTTTGTTTTTTACTATTTACTATTTTACTATTTGGTAATATTTTCTAAATTATTATATATTTATTTATTTTTGTTTTTTTCTTGAATTTTTACTCTTCTTCCATAAAATACAGGCTTCCTTAATGGTAGGGATTTCGGTATTTCTGAAAATTATTATTTTTGAATAATTCTCATTGTTTTCTAGGAAATAAAATGTTTATCATATGAGTAAGTAATTATTGCTAGTGGTTAAAACTTTTAGAGTGTGTGTGTATGTGTGTGTGTTTATGGTAAATGGGAATTGATTTTTCTTATCAATTTGCCTTGATATCAGCTGACTCATTTTTTTTCAAGTTTTCCATGAAGAAAATCTTATTAATCTCAGCAAATATAAAGTTTGTTTCCTGCTTTCTCATTTTTGTACCTCATTTATTTTCTATTACATGCTTGAACATCAGAATTATGTTAAATAGTAGAAATAATAGAGAATTCTTAAGTTATCACCAATCTTCTAGTTTTGAAAAGCATTAGTAGGAGTGGATTCATGCTTTTGATTTCTTGGATGTTATTGCATTTAAAGCCCCACCCAAGCCTATGCTAGTGTAATTATGCAAGAAACTAAAGAGATAGCATTATTATTATTTTTTTACCTCATGTAATAAAAAGGCATATCCTTGGCATTTTAAAATGTCAAGTGTAGTCTTATGTCATATATTGAAAATAATGAGTCATTATTTTTAAAAATTAACAGTGTGGTATCTGGAATCGTCATTGTATGAATCAGTTCTTATTTGGGTGTTTTGATGATAATTAATGTTTATATTGGGTAAGAAATTTTGGTGCCACATCCTATGTTGTAACTAAAATCACTTACTATAAAGATAAAAAGCAGTGTTAAAATTGGGGTCTGATACAGTATAATATGTCTGAAGATCATCTTCCCAGGAGACATACTCAGATCATTCTGCACTAGCAAAATCTCAACATTTGTTGATAGTTTTGTTAGTCATTTTCTTATTTACTGCAGTTATCTTTCTGATATTTATATTAAACTGCTGTTGTAATCTTCCATAATTAATTTTGTATTTATGTAGTGGAATAGCATGATGTTTCTTTGGCAGTTGATATTGTTTCTTGAAGACATATGAAGGAGGTAGTTTTTATAAGTATTTTGCCACATGAAGGTTGGTACTTCTGAGTAGTTGACTTTCAGAATCTAGGTATGGAATCTATGGTATGGTAGTCACAAACCATATGTAATTAAATTAAGTAAAATTTGTGTTTCACTTCCTTTGTCACACTAGCCACATTTGAACTGTTCAGTAGTCACATGTTGAGTAGGGTTTACCATATTGGATGGCAAGGATACACATTTTCATCATCACAGACAGTTCTGTTGGACAGCATTATTATAGGTCATAAGCCATAGTTCACTAAAACAAGAATCACCATTTTGGTGATTTATTTTTACTTTGTAATAATTACTGAAATAAAATATTAATACAAAAGGAGAAAGAACAAGATAAGAAACAATGAAAAGACTTGTTCCTCTACTATTATTTTTTTCTTTGTTTTTAGTTATGTTGTTTGTGACTGAACAGAGTGTGCCTGCTGTCTTCTCAGCAAGGTTCAAATCCCAGTGGGGAGAAGAGTTGTCTATCATTTGTCCACCATTAAGTACATCTTCTGCGACATGCAGACAGTGACAGCAAAGGACCTGAAATACCTGTTTTTGTGTAAATCTCACTCCTGAAATTCATAACATGAGCATGTAAAATCTCTATTTTTTTTTCTTCCCTAGAATTGGAAGAAGACAACATCAGAGAGACACATCCATAAGGCAATACAGTAGAATAATGTCCTAGAAATTTTTTTCCATGATTTGCTGCTTCTTTCTTATTGATCTTTGTAATTGACAACTTTGCTATAAAAACATCTTGTCCAAATTTGTATATTAAAAAAAAAATATATATATATATATATATATATATTTGTAGTTGGGCACGATACCTTTATTTTATTTACTTATTTTTTATGTGGTACTGAGGATTGAACCCAGTGCCTTGCATGTGCTAGGTGAGTGCTCTACTGCTGAGCCACAACCCCAGCCCCCAAATTTGTGTATTTTTAAGGCCCTGTATGCAAGCAACATTTAACATTATACATTTATTACTTTTATTTCTTCTGCCAATGGGAGGGAAAAAGCATCTAGAAATTTAACTTATACTTCAGTTTTGATATTAGAAGAATCCAAGATTTGCCCATTGTTTTTTGTTTGTTTTGTTTTTTTAGGTCTCTGGAAGTATTTGAGAAGGCGTAGTTATTTAAAACTGTAGTTAGGTGTGACTTTTTTCAAATAGTATTGTTAAATGAAAATGAATATGAATAGGAGTAGATTTGCTGATGTATGAAAAAATCCATTCCAAATTATTCCTTGGTATAAAAATGTTAGTTTGCATGTTCAATTGCTTAGACCTTTTCTCTATTTAGAGTCCAAGTATAAATTATGTTGAATAAGGTTGGAAGTATTTGCACTCTATGTGGACCCTATGTGGAATGTGTTCATTTCTAAAGAACCATAGATTATGGCTTTACACAAAATCTGTTGGCATTAAAGAGTAGAAGTGTTAGCCTTGGGATGTACAGCCATTATCTGACTTGCCGTCTGCATCCAAGTTAAAGTTAGAACATAAGAAGTGTGGTCTGGGACATGTTCACTCATCAGTCCCTTCTCTGATATGCAGTACCTCTTGTATGTTTCTAAAAATTTTCTCTCCTAGATAACACCCTTAGCATGAATCAGCAAATTGATATAACTTACACAAATGCAGTCTTCTGGGATATTTAATGATGTTTAGTAGAAGGGAAATATATGCTAAAGATAATTTTTTTTCCTGTGGGAGAAAAGTCTTTTCTACAGAGTTACTGAACTGGTATTTAAAAGAATTGTTTTCTAAAGCTTGCTCTGTTTGGTATGCTTTGGTCATAATTGGGAATGTGACTGCTGATTTAGATGATTTAAGTAAGAAATATGTATGCTGATATACCTGGAAATAAAAAATTTCAATTGTTCTTCTTGGAATTAACATTGATGTTCAATTAGGAGATAAACATAAGTGGTTTCATAGGTTATATTCAAAGAAGAAATATCACGTCATTCAACTTTATGTTTTATTTTAAATTATAAAATCTTTGGTTATTCATGAAATAATATGCATTCAGACTGGCCCATTTTAAATATGTATCAACATTGTTTCCAATTCTGTACTTAAACAGTCTAGCATTTTAAAGTGAAGGTTTAATTAGAAAAAATATTAGCATAATTTCTAAAAGTACTGGATCATCAGATAGTTTGAAAAACATAGACTTTGTACATTGTTTTGAATAGTAAACCTTGTATTCTGTTTTAAGTTGTTCTCTGGTTGTCATTACAGCTATGAAGTCTTACACTCTGTATTTCATGCTCCTGTGGAGCGCTATTGGGATAGCGAGGGCTGCCAAAATCATCATCGTGCCGCCAATTATGTTTGAAAGCCATATGTACATTTTCAAGACGCTAGCCTCAGCCTTGCATGAGAGGGGCCACCGCACAGTGTTCCTCCTTTCTGAAGGCAGAGACATCGCCCCATCTAATCATTACAGCCTCCAGCGCTACCCAGGGATCTTCAACAGTACCACCTCTGACGCTTTCCTGCAGTCCAAAATGCGGAATATTTTCTCTGGGAGATTGACAGCAATCGAACTGTTTGACATACTGGATCATTATACTAAGAACTGTGACATGATAGTTGGCAACCAAGCCCTAATCCAGAGTCTGAAAAAAGAAAAGTTTGATTTGCTGCTGGTAGACCCAAATGATATGTGTGGATTTGTGATAGCCCATCTTTTAGGGGTTAAATATGCTGTATTTTCAACTGGCCTTTGGTATCCTGCTGAAGTGGGAGCTCCTGCTCCATTAGCTTACGTCCCAGAGTTTAACTCACTCCTCACGGACCGCATGAACTTGCTGCAAAGGATGAAAAATACCGGCGTTTACCTCATTTCCAGATTAGGGGTCAGCTTTCTGGTTCTTCCCAAATATGAAAGGATAATGCAGAAGTACAACCTGCTGCCGGAGAAGTCCATGTATGATTTGGTTCATGGGTCCAGCCTGTGGATGCTGTGTACTGACGTGGCACTGGAGTTTCCAAGACCCACTCTGCCTAACGTTGTTTATGTAGGAGGAATCCTCACCAAACCGGCCAGCCCACTACCAGAAGTAAGGTTTGCTGAACTTCTTGGTAATTGTTTTTTTTTTTTTTTTAATGTAAAGGTCACTTTTGATTTCCAGAAGAGATAGGGTTGTTCCGTAACTAAGGCTACTTGAAAAAACAGTTAGGATACAAAAGTGCCTTAATTTGCTGATCCACCACTTCCCCTGGACACATTCCTGCTCTGAATGAGCATTTCCATATTATCAAGAGGCCTCTCTGCCATATGATCAATAGACTGGGAAATAGATTTTTGTTTAAGTAATAACTATAGTATATAAAGAGAATTTAGTGAGATGGTTAGTTTTAATGAGTGTAATTTTTGTTTTTAATTAAACTATTTGTTTAAATTAAACAATTAAATTAAGCTATTAAACTATTTGTTTTCCTCAAATAGCACAATCACAGGTCTCTATGTTTAGTCAACTCAAATTAACATAAACTGATGGCATAAAGGTTCTTCTTGGGAAAGTCAGAATCATTAGAAAGTTTATCTCCTACAATGGAAATGAGGCACTGACTTCCATCAAAGTGGACTACCAACTAATTTAAGTTAGTAAGGAAATGTAACTCTTTAAGGAAATCATGCTCTAGTGCAATTTCATTTCAAGGACAGAATTAATGCCACTTCAAGACAATCTTTTTGTTCACTGCCAAACCTCAGTTTTTTTGGCTGAGCTATCAGTGAATCCCTGAATGTTCTGTTCTCTATCCTAGTTTGCTTTTAATTAGGTATCCTAAACCAGCAGGAGCCAAACACATGTCTGTTGTGGGTTTTCTAATCTCAGGCTGTCTCAACATTTGATGCTATTTACCAGGAAACATAGGACTTGTTCCAGAATTTTCTTTATTGAAACTATTTCTACTCTTAATCTCTGAAAATAATTACTCAAAACAACTCTGCTAAATTGTTGTTCCCCAGCTCTGGGTACTCTACTCAAACAAATCTATCAGAGCTTTGCTGAATAGTAAATTCAGATTTTCTCCTATAGGTATCAGATAATGACAATCACTGGGCAGAATTTTTTATGGGTTAATAAGGTGTTTGGAATATATGACCTATAGTCTTTCTAGTACAACCATTAGAATTATACTTGAGAAGAAATACCTCGGTATATTTCATGTAACATAGAAACATGGAAATAGCCAGATCTGTATCCTGTTCAGTGCTAGCATTTTGAATTGATACAGCCACCAGAGCTAGTGTCACTGTTTAGCTCTCTGACAACTGTAAGGGATAGGGACTAACCCCAGTTTATCTCAGCCACTCATGTATTTATCCAAGTCCAATGTGAATCCTTAAAATATTCTCTACCAGAGTCACCTTGTGATATATCACTCTCCTAATTAAAGGTAGCTAAAATCAGATTTTAGAAGTACCTTCTAAAAGATTTGGTAAGCAAGTCTGTCTTGACTGTAATGGAGTCATTTATAATGTTATACAGATCAGCCTCATTCTGTCCAGGTCTTTCTCTCCCCCCACTGAGAGCAGTGCCCTCAGTCAGCTCATTTTGGTTTGATTTGGATGCCTTGTTTCGTCTTTTATCACCTTATTGAAGAAGGAATCACTATGAAAAGGAATCTACTCCTTGCAGCAACTTGAATGTCACAATTTAAGTCCAGATAATTTTTTATGTCATTTTTTATACTTTGTTCTTCATTAAGATGCATAGCATGTGAGCATTTTCCCCTTATGGTCGAAGCCTATCTTGCTTCCCATGCATCCTGATGTCCTGACTAGCTTCACTATTTGTTTTACTTTAAAAACAAAATCATTTGCGTTTTCTTCGTATGATCACGTGAGGTAACGCTCAAAAGTTTTTTGATTTGCCATAATGTCTTGTTTGACATGGGCTTTAGCCTACTTTGTGGACTTTGCTGCTCTTTTTTCCTCTTCAGGCTTTCTGTAGTGATTTTATTCAGGTGTGTTTTCTGTTTGCAACAATTGCTTTGTAGTTGGGTCACACACAGACATACATGTATGGCATGTATGTTATATGTAATTTAAGGACACGGATAAGTATATTATTAGCATTGAAAGTTTTGGATTCTAAGTTTGAAAGGCTGTTTTCATTTCAGTAGACCATTTATAGTTCTTCAGCAGGGAGTATTTGAAAAATGATATGTCTTTTAGATATTCCTTACTTTGTTGAGGTTTTATGTGCTTGGGAACACTTGTGTTCCTACTGAGATTTCTCCAGTTGATTTATGTGAGATGATAAACTATACCATGGGGTTCTAAAAGTTAATGAGTTTTTCAAATGCCTGTATTATTTACAAGGCATGGTTTGACACTAAACAAGAGGGTGCAGCAAGTAGTGAACACACAGTTCACTAATAATGGCTTAATTGTTAATTGCCTTGCTATCTTACACTGGGAATGGATTGAGTTTTCCAGATGTCTGGAGATGATTTGACCAGAGGGATTTGAATTTCACGACCTGGAATGAAAAGGTAGAAAAAATTTCTAAAAGACATTTTTTAGAAGCTTTCATAAGTGTTGAGTCTTAAGAATCTTTATAGAGTATCTAGATCAGCTTCATTCATTTAATGTTCCTGCCCAACAGCCTGTGTGATGTGGATTGTTTTGCTGTATATTAATTTGTCAAGATGCCCATCCCTCTTGTCACTCATTTTTTCTTGTCATTTACACAATCATAAATGTGTACAAAATTATACAGAGAGAGCAGTTTTGCTATTTTTTTATATTTTAAAAGATTGTTAGTGCTTAAAGTAAGCATCAGATGATTCTCTTACTTTTTGGGACTTTAGTTCTTGAAGAATTTGGTAATAGGAATCAACTGAATCCAAATGTTTTTGATCCCAAAGTGCTGTGTTGGTAAAAAGTGAAGAAACAGAGTGTCTTGATCATAGAATCATTTTAAAATGCATGTTGGAACTGTTCCTGGAGGAACCCTCTCTGTGTAGTATCAACTATTTGGGTGCCCGTGGAAGGAGTCCCAAAAGATGTGGATAAAGGGGAAGAGGTTGAGATTGGACCATATCAGTACAGTGTTTTATGTGCTATGCCGTGGCAGGTCAGAAGAGAACATGGATGCAAAATAAATAAATAAACTTTGCTTTGGCCAAGACAAAGACCTTTAAATAGCTCCCTATTTTGAGTGGGTCCTTTAAATATTAAAAGTGAATGAAATCTAATAGAAAGTGATTGTAGCTTTTAGTAGTTTTATTGGAGGGCAATAACAGTAATACCAATTTATTGTATTACAAGTTCACTTCAGAAAACTTTCAGTTATTAAAATGAAAACATTTCACGTGATGGTTTTTGGGTGATTTCCCATTGGCCTGTGCTTTGGCCCTATCAGGTAGTTGGATCTTTGGCACTTTTCAGCTCTTACAGTACTGAACCATTTTGCCTTCACTGTTGGTTTTCCATACCACACTCTTTCTGACCAGAATGTGGCCATCTTGAAGGCAGATACCCTCGTTGTTCACTTTTGCACACTGAGTGAATGCAAAAAAAGTTTGCATTCAATAAATATTTAATATTAAGTGAACTATATCAAGTAGAAATAGTTGCCAAAAAATTAGATGATTTGGCTAGTGTAACAATATTGTTATTATAACCATTGTTATCTGTTTGTTCCAAATGGAGGTCCTTATACCATCCCAGCCATAAAGCAATAAAAAAATTCCATGCTAAGTTATTTTAATGAACTGTTATACCTATTTAATGTTATTGATACTTAGAAAATGAGAGAGCCAGACATTACTCAATTGGTAAACTAAAATAATCTCTACTCTGTTCCAAATATGCATGTAAACAGGGATAGTAATGAATGACAGAGCAACTATTTCTGTCTTGAAGGAAGATGTTAGATGGCATGGCACTCCTTAGGTGCCTTTCAGTGATGCTTTAATGCCAGGTAAGGAGTGATAAGGGCATCTTCATTTTCCTGTTCTGGGAATTTTTAATTGAAGGAAGCATAGTCTTGAGCAGAGAGATAGTAAGAAATAAGAAAAGAGATGAGTCCAGGTGTGTAATCTCAGCAGTTTAGGAGGCCAAAGCCAGTTTCATCAATTTAGTGAGACCCTGTCACAGAATAAAACATAAAAAGAGCTGGAGATGTGGCTCAGAGGTAAGCACCCCTGGGTTCAATCTCTGGTGCCAAAAATAAATAAATAAATACATATAAAGAGAGAAAACAAAGATAAGAAATAGCAGGAGATCAAGGTGAGGATCATGAAATAACAACTGTTTGTCATTTTGTCATTGGCCAGACTACCTAGAAAATGAAAGAAAAAACAACAGATTGAATAGATAAGCCCCTTGTGAGGAGATAAGATTGTGAGAAGAATAAAACCAAGAAATAAACAACAGTGCCTTCCTGTGTGTCTTCAGCATTCATTGATTCACATGGAAATTCGCATGGAAGCCATTATTTACTGTCCATGTGGTGTTTGAAAGCTGATCTCACCACTAAGGAATGGAGTTCCCAGGCTGGGATGTGGGACTAGAGTCCTTAGTGCTGTAAGGCTGATGCAGGGTTGCAGCAGTTATGGAAAATCAAGGCCATTTTAATAATATTTTACATTTACATTTCTAACATATTATCTCATGATATTTAAAACCTGAGACAGCATTATAGCTATTATACCATATTGATTAAAGTGCTAGTTTTAAAATAAGTATTATTTAATCAAAATATATATCCTATATAGTTGGGTTCCTAATTTGGATCCCATCATTCACATATAGTTTTATAGAATGTCTTCATCTGTATAGTAATATTATACTATATTGGTAGCTATTTGGGGATTAGAAAATTGAGGACTAGAGTGTTTGGAAGAGACTAATAATTTAATTCTATTTACTAACTCTGAGTTCAGATATTCAATACAACATGATAGTTGAGCAGAAATAATAGATTCCCTATGGGAACTCATTAACGTAAGATGTTCTTGCAGATGTATTTGCAGTAGTTTTGTAGCTTATACATTTTTGTCTTTATTTTGTAGTAAGAAACTAGATTGCCTTGTTACGTGA